CCCAAATTTTTGTTAGGTCAGGGAGTTAGACAAATTTTGACTTTCTGGGATCCAAAGTTTGACTTTTTTGACTAGTATATTTTATGCGATGTCACTTTTCCTACGGGAAGCGCTGCCAGAATTTTCCTAAGTTAGAGGAGTTAGCCTATATTTGGACAAGTGGCGACCTATGTAGGGGAGGCTATGGCGAGATCCACCTTACGCTGAGTGCTATCTAGAGGTGGACCTAGACTTGGTTAGATATGACGGCTCGAGTAAGGTCAAGAGGTGGAGGTTACTCTCCCTGAGGGCGTAGACTTAGCTTGAGATTGGTCTGGCTTGTGTCACAGGTCTTTTTGATCAAGTCGCTTCAGGACGTGGGCTGGACTCAGCTTGATCCTATTAGGATCACCTTCTGTTATCACAGATAACAGGTCGGTTGCCGACTCGTCGGTACAACTCAACCTCAACCCACTCTCCTTACTCAACCTAAAGAGGCTTCAGCCCTGGTGATCTTCTCTGTTTTGTTAAGGTTTCACCCGGACTTTTATTGAATGGCCATTTAACAAAGGTACTGAGTATTTACTTAAGGTTGGTTGGCTGGAGGTTGGGGCTTGCATGGCTGAGGCAAAGGGTATGAGCATAGAGATTGGTTGGAGTTGACTCCGTGTAGTGTATGGACGTTTGCTTGACTCTTTGATGTGATTGCAGGTATGTTCTGTGGCTTGGATTATTGGATTGGACTGCCTTGCGATCTTATATATGTGCATGAGGAGGCCCACTGTGATTGTGAGTTGTGATCGTCACACGTTTATTCCCATATGTGTATATATGTGTGTACATGTGTATGTATGCGTACCTGTGTAGGGTACTTGTGTGATTTGAAGGGTCCGCGTGCCAAGGACCTAATCCAGGGTTGGAATGAATAGAAGGGAGGGAATGACCCCTCCATATATATATATATATATATATATATGCTTCCTTGTTGGGGGGTTATTTTGGTGGAACGATAAAGTTCCGGGCGGAAGGGTCAGCGTGTCGCTGGTGATGCGCCAAACAACTCACCACCGCTCCAAAGCCCTTCCTGCCCTAGGGACCGTCTTACCTCGCACCCTTTGGGACACCTCAAGGTGCAGAAGGCGGTAAAGCCCTCAGACCGGTTTTGCGCCCGCTAAAGGGTTACCCCCTCTTGGCGCACACGTCAGCCGACGCCTGAGCATCAGAAGCGACCGCATGGCTCAGAATAGGCCATTTGGGTATAGGCACCACATAATGCGCTGTCATCGCAGTTACTCACGTAGAGCTGCATAATGAATTGGTATGTGTGGATCCTACGTCCGAGCGATCCTATACTAAACCTCGCGTATGGCGGTTACCGACTTCCACTGCGTAAAGTTATGGGTTGGATACAAAGGGGCTAGGAGTGTGTCGCGTTGTATGTCCTTTGCGTCGTTCAGTACTTGTGTGCGTGTGTGCGTGTGTTTTACTTTTATGTACCTTATAGTGGTGTGGGCGTGGCATGTGGGATACGTCCTAGTCGACCGGCGACGAGCCGCGCTTGGGACCTCAAACCCCCAAGATGTCGGTCCGCGTGCGGGTCCGATAGAGGCGTAGTACCGCGCCTACCCCTTATGCTACAGCGAACGAGAAACGCCCTCGGCTGGTCCACCTCTGCAATTGCAGCTGATCAGCTTTCGTACTGTGGACTGGTAGCTCGGCGGGGATACGCCCACCGAAGGGAGGTGACAGCTCCCGTAAGGTGGAGGTAGTCGTGCCTTGCGTAGGCCCTGTCCTGTCGTAGGGGCTCACCATCATCCCGCTCGTCTCATGCGTAGTCCGAAACAGGTGGACGGAGGAACAAAATCATAAAGGTTTTCAACATTCGACAGTGTTCAGGACCGCGACTACCCACTCCTCCCATATATATGTATAAAGGGCGTTCCCCCTCCCCGTACGGTGCATGTAGAACATCATTTTTGCGTTATTCTTTGTTCGCTCGTTGGGTTCATAACTTACGGTGTCACTTTCTGTGAATTGCAACAGTTTCCATACGCCATACGAAAGAAGCGACGATGCCTTGCGCGCCAATGATTTTCCGATGTTACCACACCACGAAACTGACAGGCGGCAACACAGTATACTATTACGAATCAATGACTCCCGTAACAGATCCTGTCGGCGATGCAGTGGGGTACCGCAATAGAGACAAGATGGTGGATCGTCATTTCGTTGTCAGCGTGGAGGAGGACCGAGTCGTCAGACTCACTACTGAGACTTATATTCGTGACCACGCCATCGAACACGTTCGTGTGCTAATGTCTAAGTCGACTACGTACTTCAGTACCTTTGTTCTCAAACCGGTCGACGGTGATTTGATGTATGATATCGTCTACCCCCTAGTGCATCGCATACTATACACACAGTACGGGATGGTCGCTCGGGACGGCGTTTGGCGCCTGGTCGTGTCACCGCCCTACTTTGTGTCCAATGACGAGGATTTCTCTGCCATGTTCTATCCTTTCTGTGGGATCCGACGATGAGTACCATTCGTTTTTTTTTCTATGTTTCATCGTTGTTGGAGAGAGACAAACTCATGGTTTCAATGATTGTACATTTTGTGTATACATATGCAATTGTCATCTCCCATGTGTTTTTTAAATGTTTTCGGTTTTTTTCTCAGCTGCTTTGTGTTTTTCATCGTTTTTTTTATTTCGTTATGTCTAGGTACAGTACTGAGGTAATCGGTGCCCGTAATGTTCTGTTTTGTAGATTTCTGAAAAATCACACATAAGCGACAGAACAATATTCACCCTTTCCCAGACATGGACCGCCGACGACGCAGGGCTGGCGTGCGGGCCGACGCAGTCGTATTTGGAAATGGGACAGATACTGATCCTTTCCGCGACGAGGACCTAACAGTCGCCAAGATTAGGAGTCGGTGGCCGGGGCCCGCAACGCTTTTGGAAGAGGCTGTGACTTTTGCTGGGCTGGAGGAGCATCTGCAACAGTGCATGAATCTGCTTATTGGTCGTGCAAATCTCGAACCAAAGCAGAATCGTTACAATGGATATGTCGCTTTTTCTCGGCTGTGCGGGTTCGTCGTTTTCCGACAAAGATTGCTAGATGAGTTCCAGACGTCAATGAGGGAACGATGGCCAGATACAATCATTCGAGGTTTTGAACTACGACAATGTGATCCTCCTGAAAACGCGCGCCCACGTCGACGTGCACGCCGGTAAATGCTTCACGACAAGATATATATATATATATATATATATATATATATATATATATATATATATATATATATATATATATAGAGAGAGAGAGNATATATATATATATATATATATATATATATATATATATATATATATATATATATATAGAGAGAGAGAGAGAGAGAGAGAGAGAGAGAGAGAAAGAGAGAGTAAGATGCACGGTGAGTGTGACTACGTGTGTCAGTCCGACTGTGTGTTTGCCTTGAGTGTGTGTGTGATCGTAACCGTAAGCGTGCGGGTTGCTTTTGGTGTGGCCCGCAAGGGCCCGTGCTTGTTCGATAGGCCATTAGGGCCGGAACTTACGTATTGTCATGACTTCGAGGGATTGCATTATGTCATCTTTGGTTTCCCTAGTGTACTTCATGTTCTTCATCTTATAATCCTCGATCTCTCATTTCAAGTTCATTTATTTCTTTTTGCAATTTTATGGTATTGTATTATTGGGTGCAAGTGCAACAGGACATTGATCATATATATATATCGTCACAAACAGAACTGCCTGGTAAGAACGTAGGCAGAGAGAGAGAAGAGGACAACAAACGAGGGGTATATATATATATATATATATATATATCATGAACTTGGTTGTCTGACGAACATGTCGCCACTCACACAGACTCACAGAATCTGACACACGCCCATACATAAGCCGTATAAGGGGGAGAGTAGACGTAAGTCCAACTACATACAGACGCAGCGGAATACAACCATGCACAGAAGGGGAAAAGACACACAGTGTTTCTCACTCTCTGACAAACTCCCAGCAACCAATCACAAGAAAGAACTTGCGAACATCACAATTGGAATTACACTGATGATGAGCCAACTCAAACCAATAATCATTACAGAGTTTATCTCAGTGTCTCGCCACAGTCAGAACTCACAGACAACCCTCTATCCTATACCCAGTTAGTAGCGCCGCACAGAAACAGCCTCCCAGAGGCCTAAACTAACCATCAAGATGAAGAACCAGGATAGCAATGAAGTCTTCAATGCCGATGAGTAACTCTGACGAAGAAGAAAGCAGCTACGGCTTCCACACCTAGCCCGAATGGAGATGGGCGACAGTGGACCGCACACGAACACGCAGTGATGAGTCTCAGAATAGCCCTGCCACTCGCTGACACCCCCACGGGTAGATGCGCAGAGAATGCCCCAACTATGGCAACCTCTCAGATGGTGGCTATGGTTGTTGCTCTCGCTGAAGGTCTCAGGATGGCGCCTATAGACAATCACCGCAAAAAAACTTGCATGGCTCAGAACGCTGTGACGCAAAAATGAAAAACCACAAGTCCTAAACCTACTGCCCCTGTTCGATTCATAGAATCGGTACAGACGTACTTGACCCTACCGGACCTAACCTACGGACCACCAATATTGTATATCATTTTTTGGCCTGTACGCCCTTACCCAGCTACGGGCTATACCCATTGTGGGCCCATTACGGCCTCTACGAAAATGGGAAAGACTGGGTATGCAATAGCAGGAATGGGATTGCAAAATTGCAGTTTTGTCCCTGCCTATCGACGGTCCACACGATCAGTCCCTAACAACAAAATTACGAATATAACCCTAGTAGTTATAGTACAGCCTCGCAGTTAGTCTGCAGAAGAAAGTCATGTGAACGATAAAGGCATTCAAGCAGTCAAACGCCGAACAACTCTATATCGTCACCCTCAGATTCGGAGCTCGATGCCGGGTCGGAATCATGGCATGCAGTCACCACATCCTCCACCTCACCACTGACAATGAAAATACGGCTGTCCCCCGCGACATCATGGTCAGATCCGGAGGAAGCATCGTCAGCGACGTCCACTGGGTCGGCCCCACCCGCGACAAACAGATCGCGTGGCAATGGAAGCGGTGACGACGCGGGCCCGGCTCCATAAGGACAATCCTCCTGCCGCAGAAGCTTTCGAGCCCAGTCCGAAACAGGAGACGAACCGAACATGAACGCCGCCAACCTGTGCATCCAAGAGTCGTCAGCGTCCTCGGTCTGTCGATGAAAGGCGGGTCTCGGACGTATCGAAGTGCCTGCGGGTATGCGAGCACGATAGCCGACCGGGGCGCACCAGCAATGACTGTTCCACCGAATCATTGCGATCGCCACACGTGGAGAGTAAGACTTCTCGAAATGCACAGACTTCTTCGCGTAGATGATGATGGTGCCCTGAAAAGTCTCCACTGCCGATGTGTGTCGAAACTCAATGTAGTACGTTGTGATATTAGTGCTGCATTGTTTCCCCATAACATGTTGAACGAGTCCGTACACCCTGTTCGTGCGCCTATACAAAGGCAATCGTCCAGGCCCATCGGCCTTCTCGCACAGAACATCCTTGCCATCGACACACCCCGAATGATCACATGCCCAATGATCGACGATGAGCATGATGTCACGGTGCAAACTGCGAGTGTCTCCACCCTCCTCCTTGCATAACTGACAAGCGTGGAGGAACCACATGCCGACCTCATGCGCATGATACTCAGTCACGCCGTCAGGATCAGCAGTCAACTCTTGGACGTTCGTCCTTGACCCGAAGGGATACGTCTTCTTCATTACGACACCGATGAAATCCGATTTCTTCATCCGCTCTTCTGCAGTTGTGAGGACACCGGGTTCGAAACGATCATGCAAGGCCTCCACCAGCTGTTTCTTCGTGAACTGCATGAACTGCGCATCAGACACACACTCATGCGGGTTACTCACTTTCTTCGCCTCCTTCAATTGCGGCATACTCCGGAAAAGTTTGCGAATGTTTTTAATTTTGTGATGGCAATCCTTCTGCCAGTCAATGTTCAAAGCTCGCAACTGCGGTCCCAACGCGGCACAATCATCGAACACGACGCACCAGATCTTCAACCCCTTTTCCAGCAACCCTCGCAGCAGTCGGACGACGGCTGGCACCTCAAGCGCACTCGAGGCCTTGCCTTCGGTCTTCGGACGGCGAGTCATAACACCGACAACAAGCCGAGTCTCGTACTCCATTGCAGTGACAGTGCAATGCTGCGCCCCTCTGGCAGAGTCATATCGACCATCGACCATCAATGTAACAGGCTCGCCACGACGTATCACAGTTTCAATGGCAAGCTCGGAATATCTGAGGCCCTGCCGCACGACCTTACCATTCCATCCCTCCGCGTCGTCCCCAGGTCCGCGCATGAAGTTGTAGAATGTGGGTTTGTGCACCGAGCACAACCCCAACGCAACGCAGAAGTTGTCGAGGAGCGTGTAGGTCAGGCCGACAGTCACCGTCGCATGATATAGTTGCTGCTGTAATCGAGACTCATAAATGGTGGTGGTCAAAAGTGCGGAGTGCCACGTCTATTTGCATCAGCGATCGCATACAAACGTCAGCCGACAGAGTTGCGCAGGATAGGAGACTGAGTCCATGTTTACACGACACGAGCCACCGTGCCACGGGCAATACAAATGAAACAAGGCCAGCAATTGAAGTAGCTTGACCGGCTCGAGAAACACAACATTCGGCGCTTCGGGTCCAGTCCACTGGGTCATCGCCTCCTCAACACCGTCACGGTCTGGTCCAGGACCACACTGGTCAACTCCCTCCCAACTGTCTGACCATGTCTGGGGCCGTACATGCGTCGACTGTGAGCGACCCGCACTGCGGGGTCGACCACGCCCTCTGTCACTGCGCTGCGATACACGACGCGAGGACGGGAACGAGTTCTGCGAACCGTCCTGCGACCCCCCCAACGTGGCGCTCCCCGAACCCTGCGAACCCCCTTGAACATAGTCACCTCCAGAATCACCAAGCAAATAACGCAACTGGAAATCCTTCCCACACACGCAGGACGACAACGTCGAAGAAATTGTCGCTGCTACACCGACACCGAACTCCGCCCGTATAGCTGGCAACGACCAGTGCAGTAGCCGGTCAACGACGTCGCTGACTGGTCCGTGATTGTCACTGACACTGGCCATAGCATCGCGGAGCGCGTACAACCGCCTCCGACACCCGTCCCTCACACACACTTGCACAATGTTGTTGGCGGCCGAAGACGGCGTGCCAGCAACTGCCGCAGCGCTATCGTCATCATGAAGACGAGGTGTCTGTTAAGGAGCTGGTGAGGGAGACTCGGGCGAAACTCCGAATGAACCGGCCGCCAAACCAACGTTACTGGAACGCGAACCTGGCTCGAGGTGGACGTCGCTGCGACCTCCGTCGACAGAAGAGCGTCCACGAGGACATGACGGGGGCACTGCATGTGACCAAACTGGTGCTGGAGGAATTGTGGACGCGTAGTCCAGCCGTCTAGGGAGGAGCGGGGACGGTAGCAACGGAGCACCAAGCACACCTGCATACGCAACAACATTACGAACCGCCGACACAGCTGGTGGAGAAGCCCCCAACAAACCAGGGAAAGATGCACGGTGCGTCAGGCCATGTGCAACGATGCCAGATGTCGCAGGCGAAACGTCACCACGGCGCCTTTTCCCGGTCCGCACATCCGAACCACTGCTAAGCGGTGATCCTCCCAACAAGCCCAGTGCAGCACTCGGAGAGCGATCGACACTCAAACGACCAAAGGGTGTCCCCTGTGGAGATGACACACACGGCGGCGAGCGAGCGGGGACATCGTCACCGCCACTCGTTGACATTGCGAATGTCGTGGTCTGCACAGTGTCAAGATTCAAAGAAGGATGAATTCAGGAACAGTCAATGAACAAGCGATCAACAAATCAATCAATCAATCAACCCATCATTCAAACGATCAATAAATCAACGAATGCCTGTTTTTGCAGTCAGTCAAACATTCATTCTGTTGATCGGTCAATCAATCACTCAATCATTCAACCAATAAACCATTCAGTCAATGAAACCATTGATGTATTTGATTGATTCATTGATTGAATGATTGTTGATTCATTGATCAATTGATTGAATGATTGATTGGTTGATTGATTGATTGGTTGATTGATTGATTGATC